CGAGGAATAAGAGGAGGTCATCAGCAAACATAAGGAAGGGGACAGTAACATCACCTCGACCCACCGAAATAGGGCGCCACGTGCGGTCATCAACCGCCTTGCAAATGAGTTGGGCTAAACGTTCCGCAAAGCACAAAGAGATAAGGGGAGATAGGATCACCCTGTCGAACACCTCTGGTAAGAAGAAACTCATCACCGCTTGTCCCATTCCAGAGAATGTTCATCGAAGCCGAGCAGATGGCAGCCATGACCGCCGTGACGAACTTATCGGGATAGCCGGCCAGTCGTAAGGTCTCTTCAATGAAGTCCCAGCGCAAGTAATCATAGGCCTTCTCAAGGTCAACTTTAACAACCATGAAGCCCTTGCCCCCTCTCTTAGTACGCATAGAGTGGATGAGTTCTTGGGCGACGACAATATTATCCGTAATATGGCGACCCGGGACAAAGCTCGCCTGTGCGGGGTGGATCAGATCCGGGAGAGTACCCTTCATTCGATTTACCAAAATTTTGGTGAAGAGCTTATAGACAACATTGAGAAGGCTGATAGGGCGAAACTGCTTAATCGTGCGGGCATTGTCAACTTTGGGGATCAAAGTGATTAATGTGCGGTTCACCGTGCTCGAGACCACTCCATCGTTCCACATAGTCCGGAGAAAAGCGCGCACCAAATGGCCCACACACTCCCAATTTTTTTGGAAAAATAACGCATTTAATCCATCCATCCCGGGCGCCTTTAAGGGCCCCATGGCACTAAGAGCAGTGAAGATTTCCTCATCAGAAAGGTCGACCTCCGTGGCCTTCCTCGCCTCCCTGTCACAAGGAGGAAAAAGACTCGGTACCACCCCATGACTCACCGGCGGCGGCCCAGCCCTATATATTCCTCTAAAAAACTCTGTAGCGAGTTGCCGAAGCGCCACTTGATCTGTGACCAGATTAGCCTCCGGGTCCACTAATTCGACAATCTTACTACGCCGGCGCTGATGCTTAATCTGCCTATGGTAGTAAGTAGTATTCCGGTCACCCAACATGGCCCATTCCCTCGTGGATTTCTGAACCAAAAGCAGCTCCTCTTGCATGATAACGTCATCCAACTCCTCCCACAACTGACGCTCAAGTCCCATCAAATGCTCGCTGACATAAGCCCGGCGGCAGCGCTGAATGCCCGCTAGCCGAGCCATAAGAGTCTTCTTTTTTTGAAAAATATTCCCAAACACGTGGAAGTTCCAGTCTCTTGCGGCGGCTGTGAATTGTGAAGCCGCAACATCAAAGGGAAGGGAAGATTGCCACTATGCGTGCAACATATCTCGGAATCCCGGATGGAGGAGCCAGACCGCCAAGAATCTGAAAGGTTTGACTCCCCTCGGTTCTACCTGAGCATGAGGACACCAAAGAAGAAGTGGCGAGTGGTCCGATTGTATGCGTGGAAGGAGTCACTAATCCTGACAGTTTCATGATGATTTAACGGTTACAAATTTGACCAAATGGTTCCGTAACAGAACCGTAGCATTTTCCTAAGAGATATCTACCCGAACACAAGTAGAGGCAAAAAGGTTTTAGAAATCCCAAACCACCCCTTCATCTTACAATGAGAATAGCATATGTATTTAAAATTTCGTTCGACCAACAGCAACCGCATTAGAGTCAGACTGAGCTTTGAGCACGCAACGTGAAAAGAGAGGAAACCTGTGGAAAAGCTTCGGCCAACTGAACAAAAAAAGCTCGTTTCCCATATGCTAAAGCGCCTCTTCCCGCCGCATAGAGCCAAAAGAAAGCCCCGCCGTCTAACTCTTTCCCCAATCGGGACAGGTTTGCCCCTCGCCGCCATGGATCTGAATCCCTTCAGGTTATGCTCTGGTCTAAGGTTCCTCGGCTACTTGATAGTCCTCGTCGTAGTGGGTTTAGTTGCGGTCTCGTACGACGCCGTCATCGTTCTCACCTGCGGCCCGCACCTCCTCGACGGCGGCTTCAGATCGTTTTTCTATTTTCTTATTGCGGCTCTCTTCCACGTTTTGGTATTTGGTCCCGTATTGGTGTGCTTTACATTCCTAATTTCCTTTTTTTCAATGTGAATTGTGTTTGTGTAGCGTATTGAGTGTTTTGTAGTTGAGAATAGTTTCTGGTTTTGACGATTGAGTGTTCAGCTGGTTTGCTAGGCTTATTTTGCTAACTGTTGTAATCTAGAACTTGAGCTGAATCTGAGTTTTTGTTGCTGAATTGGAAGTTGAATGTGAGTTTAGATAGTTCAAATGTCGCGCGAATCCACCTTAAAAGGCTTACTTTAAGTTGTGTAGTTCGACAATGTTTTATTGCAGTTTGTGAGCTTAGAGTTCCTTCTTGTAATAGCACTTGGAGATGAGGAGAAACAATTGTTCCAGGAGCAGTGTTTTTCAAACTAATTCTATCTGCACAAGACCCTATAATAAGCTAGAATTGGTATTATTGTCATTACCCGCTATGTATTTAGTTGTCAAAGCACGAGTCTGCTTGTTTGTAGAATTATACATAAGCAGGTCTACGTAAAGTTAAAAGCTTGAAACAATTATCTTAGTGTATCCAGTATACTTTTGTTATTGAGAATTTGATTAGGAATTATCCAAGTGTGCACAATTGGGATGCCAGGGTGTGGGATTTGCGATTCTATTAGTGCTCTATAGCCATGTAAAGCTTCAATTTTGATTGACCATTTACCAATCAATGACGACCAAACACAAGGTTTAGGTTTTCTTGAAATGCATTTATATCGAGGTATTTCAGTAATTCACCTTGAAATTTTGAAATGTGCAGCTTATATTATTGTCATGGAGCTACTTTATGGTTGTCTTTATGGATCCTGGATCTGTTCCTGAAAACTGGAAACACATATCACCAGAACAGGATGTTGAGAAAGAGATTTTTTTGTCCAATTCCTCAGTTCCAGAGAATAATTCAGCCACGCCATCGTCCTCAGCAGGAATAGAAAAAATGCCCACAATTGCATATTGCAATCACTGTAAAAACGGGAAGCCTCCTCGGTGTCATCATTGCTCTGTATGTAAGCTCCACTTCCTTTTAAAGAAATGTTTTTTTTTTTTTTT